CAGAGGTTAGCCGGTGAGGACTGTGAGGCAAAAACATTGTGGGCGGAGCCTGCTCCGAGGTGGGCGGAACCAGACAAAATGGTCTGTAAAACGGTTCCAGAGCTCTCCGAAGACCGGAAAAAAACTTGAATTAAGGTCAGCAGAGGGTCGCCGGTGAGGGATTGTGGCAAAAAACATTGTGAGGGCGGCGTCCCGCCGAGGTGGCCGAGCCGGCGGGGTCGGTTGTGCTGTCCGGAATTTTTTCCCGACGGCAGAGACGTACCCCGAGGGGACTATCCCCAGAACTCCACTTTTTACAATTTCGGTGAGAATCCAAGAACTTTATTGGTTATTCATAAACAAAATACTGATGGATTTCTTACCATTGGCTCATAATGCTTGACAATCTGGGTCGCCAGAATTTCAACTACGTCACAATTTTTGAACTGAACGACGGCAAACAAGAGGTCAGCCCGTCGAATAAACCCATGAATGCGTTCGACCTGAAAACTTGAAGATCTCGGAAAAAATTCCCCACTATTTTAAAACTGAGTTCTGATCGCCCAGAATATAGAGTCACACGCTGCCTTCGGAGCAAGACTCGGCCCATTTTAGATTAGTAAAGTAGGAGGGAAAAGGCTCACCGTTAAACCACGATCAAACCCATGAGGACGTACAAACGGTTCTTTAGCAGGTGGCTGAAAGCGGTATTTTTAATAGGAAAAAAATCGACTAAATAACATTCTGGTACATACCTCGGGCTTTTTCACAGAAGTGCCTTGAATTTCGCGTGGATCTGACTTTTGTTTCACCTCTCGCTAAAGCAGTAAAACAAAAACGCTCACAAATTTGGACACTAATACAGCACATATTCCCCAGAACAAATAAAGCTACAACGTCAAACATTGAACAACAACTGCACTACTCAATTACAATTAAAATCAAGAACATGTGGTTATAGATGAGACAGAACAAAGATTTGTGATAAATTTGAGCAATTGGGTCCATAATCAACCAGATCAACCAGATTCTTGAGTCAGCTGCAGTGCCATTGTTGAACAATGTTCGTCTGATAAGGCATGGTCATGAAAAAACTATATTCCGTTAGAAGGCATGGCAGGCACACACCACAAATTGCTGCAAATTCGCCGCAATACGGCCCAATTATAGCTAATCATGAACATCTGTTGTCTGTTCCAGCTCCAGTCCTCAGCACCGTTAGTGTATCGGATTGCTGACCGTTGCTTCTCGTACTTTCTCGAGAAGTTTAAGGCAAAAGGCACGCTAAATCCTGAAGACGTGTGGGATTAATACGCCTAGCAGGACTAATTTGGCGCACCTGAGCATGCGCTGTGCGGCGCCTTTTCCAGGAAAGGTGCCTCTATAGCGCCTATCAGGCTGCAATATAACAAACCGAATGCCCACCGCGCCCGCCCGCCCACAGATATCTGACTGATGCTGATCCTCGTGTCACTTTATTTGCGATGTACAATATAGAGCGAAGGGATTGATATGAAGCGGCTTCAGTGTGTGCGGTGATGGCACGATGCCAACGGGAAGCTCGTCTGAATTCGCTTTTTGAGTCGCGCAGAGCTTTTTTTGCAGACTTTTGACCGTTTCACTTCGTTTTCGCCATTTCCCCAAGACAGCCCTGCTGCCGTTTTAGACCGAGTACCAAATTATTGTGCCTTATGCTTCTGATAATAGCGAGTAGAGGTTCTTCTCGCGTCCTTCTCAAGCGGGCTCGATTGGGGAAACGAGAACAGTACACTCCTCTTCATTACGGACTGTCGGGGCGTATCGGCCAGAAGGAGTGCGCACACTGTTTGAAGCCGTTCTCAGCCTTTTCTTTGAAGCGCGTATGCGACAAAAAGTGGTAGAAAACGAGTAATACGAAGGATATAATGCTGTTATGTCATTTGATCGCTTCAACAACTGGTGCAGAAAGACTTTGGAACCGCGGAAAACGCAGCCGCACTGACCCGCCCCGACAGTCCGTAATGATGAGGAGTATATATGAGGCTTTATGTATTCATGCCTAAAACTCTGATCGCGCTATTGCTTCAGTCCATATTCTATTTGGCTGCTGCCCTACGGCAAGTATAGGTCCTTCTCGTAAAATAATTGGACGTGAAGCGGAACCACCCGGAGCGCTCATAAATCAACTGGATCGCCCTAGCGTCAAATAGGCGGTGTCATGCTGCGCTGAAGGAAAATTGCTAATTCACAGTCTTTACTTTTAACATTTCCTCCCGCTAACAGCCGTCGCATTTCCAGTGTCCGTCCCGCTTCTCCCCACCTGCTCACCTCCAGGAAAATTTTATCATTTGTCTATCTCTTAACACACCATTCTGGTACCTTGTACAGCTTAATGAGTATAGTCGGGGGTCTTCACATAGTGAAATACCAACGGTTTTTCATTTTGCTAGCAGTTGTTTTCCACTACCACAACCACGAATAATACTGCAAACTGACAGACAGACATGGAACCGACTAACATACAAGCCATCACGTTGAAGGCACGTCCCGCAGCCAAAATGGTGGGCTATGGATCAAATGCGCTAATGACAAGGCTTTTAAGTTGTATAAATTCTTTGTTTAACGCCGCAGTACGCGTTCCGAATGTTATCACAAGAATGCTGAGTTGTGGGCAAAGTCGTGCCCCAGGCGGGAGTCGAACCCGCACCTCACGCTTTCCGCGCGAGTGGTGCGCGTCGTTTACGCCAACCGGGCTACTTTCACCCTCTCAGACCTTAAGGGCTTTTATGCGTAGCATACGCCAGCATCACACGTTAACTGGTGACTGGGGCAGCGACTTATTGCCGCACAACTCAGCATTCCTTTGATAACAATTCAGGAAAGAGTACTGCGGGGCTTTAAACAGGCAGTTATCATAAAGCAAAACAGCTCACAAACATCCTAAAGCCTAAGGCCCGCGGTTTAATGGCACGATATCCCTGCGATTTGGCTGACCGGCTCACCAAGTTAAACGTGTGAGTGCTGATAGGCTACGGCATAAAAGCCGTTAAGCTGAGAGGGTAAAAGCGGCCCTGGTGGCGTAACGGATAGCGCACTCGCCCGGAAAGCGTGAGGTGCGGGTTCGACTCCCGCCTGGGGCACGACTTTTGCCCACAACTCAGCATTCTTGTGATAATGACAAGGTTTTAAGTTAATCAAAGTGAAAAGAAGCAGCGAAACAGAATAAATTGCTCAATGTAGGGAGCTGCCGGTGCAGGCGTTGTACGAGTGAAGAAAGGCGCATGGATTCTTTCACGTTGCTGCTACCATTGGGATATAATCTCTTTTCCCTCTAAACATCACTCTTCCCAACTGGACTAAAAAGAGTTTGTAGCGGAACAGCTGCAACATCAGTAGTCGTCAGAAATTGAACGATTTTGTTGTGTGTTTAAGGGTAATGGGCGGAAGGCATTGCCTTATGCGCGAGCGATAACGGCTCCGGTCACGTATTTTTGAGCGGTGAATGTGATACTATTTGTATGGCCGCTATGGGAAAATATTAGATGAATGGGAGACATGCCTTCAAGTTAGTGGTTCATACGAAGTTTAGCTCAAGCAGCTCTTCGTAAACCTGAAGCTCACACTGGACAGAAATACCAACCTTGGTCTCAAGTGGTACGGATGGAGACGCGCTCTTCCGCAGTTCTTCTTCAGGAAGAATAGGAACACTGAAAACATCAAATAACAGAATGCCTGTGCAAGACGGCCCAAAAATTAGCTAAAAGATGAAGTTAGCTGTTGAATAATGAAATTTCAAGACAGCACCTCTTCTCTTTTTGCTCCGATTCCTTATTTGGAACATCTTTTGATGGCGAGATGGTTTCTGTAGCGGACAGTGATTGCACACGTTTCCGTTTTGGAATGGTCGGAGGTAGTGGTACCTGAAAGGAGAAGATGTTTGATTGAACGTCTATGTCTTCTCCTTTTCATAAGGCTCATTTTCTTCATCTTCCCAGTGCATGGATACCTCACCACAAGGATCCTCAATTCCCTGCATCACGGCATCTGGGCGCTGTAAGTGGCGCAACATCGCCAAGTCAAAGAATAATGAAATAAATTTCTGACTCTGGTGTTTGGTAACTTCACAAATGCGACTTACCGATCTACGCAGGGGCTGTTCAGACGAAGGACATGGGGAAGAGCGTGCAGCTACGGTGGTGGATTGAAGTTGCTCGTCAATAAACGAGAATGGTTCATCTGGGATCGGTTCAAGTTCAGTCTTAGTTACTTTTGAAGGTTCATGTTTTTCACTTGGCTCGATACTTGGCTCCTGCAAATTCAATTTTTAATTGTCAAAATTCAATGGAAGCATACACATAAACCCTCATATAAACAAACAAATAACGAAAACATTTATTTTTGATTATCAGAAGAATGCTGAGTTATAGGCCTGAATTTTCCTATTCAGGCCAGGAAACTGACGTTTCCGGCTGAGTGCGCTGTCCATTACGCGACAAAGCCGCTCTGAGCTCAGAGAGTAAGAGGCGGCTCCTGTGACATAATGACTAGCGCATTCGCTCAATCAGCGTAAAATTCGAGTTGGAGTCTCGCCTGAAATCAGACTTTTGCCCATAACTCAGAATATCTATGGTTAGTTTCGGAGCGTGATATGCGGTTTAAACAGCAGCTATTATTATAATAAACTATTCTAAAAGAAATTACGGCGCTGCTCGTCTTGGGAGGGGCGTTCTGTACTTTTGCTATTTTCCTTTCTTAGTAATGAATTCTGGAGCAGGTATTCTGTGGAAAATAAAGGAAGGAGGAGGAGGAGGAGGGGGGGGGGGATATGGGTGGAATTCGATGGTATCCTCGTGAAGATCTACAGTTACTGTTATCCTAATAGGATGACCGTGTTTCAGAATTTTCATCTGCGTCACCCCGAGCACCTTTCTATATTAGACTTGAGCAATTCCCTACAAGCTGTGAGGCTGTGGGTTTCCTTTAGCCTGAGGACTGGCTTTTGCCCATAACTCAGCAATCTTGTGACTAATTTTCAAAGTGTAATTTTGATTCTGTTTCCATTCAGTACCTTTGCAGGATTGTCCGGAGGCGATCAATGACTACTGGGTGCAGCATGAAGCCCGAAAGGGCAAGAAAGATACCGAAGGTTCTTCAAAGAAGCGTGATCATCCAGAAACGCATAGCACGAAGTCCTCTAGGAAAAGTGTAAGAAACAAATTGCTGTATTTCTTAGCGAGGAAAGTTAGAATCGATTTGATGATTTCAATTTCAGACTGCTTCTCCTGTCGCTAAACGGCTACGTCTTGAAGATGTCCAAGGTATGCAGTTCGAATAGCTATGGCCTCTGGTTTTTCATTCAACGAGGTTAATGCTGTGCTGAAGGCGTCTTCCGCTTTGCATAGATCCTCTGGTGTGTAGCGTGCGGATACTCCATGCCTTAAAGACAGATTCCAGCCGTTTACTTGACGCGGCAAATAAGGTCTAATGGTCATTTAATCAGCCGCCGCAGCCCCTCCGTTTTCCTTCCTCCAATCCCTCCACCCCCTCCCCCCTTCTATCTTCCGTCATCCTTGTTTTCCTCCCCGCGAAAACTTGGCAAGAAGATCTGACGAGAAAATACTTTTGGACCCTTACGGCTGATCGAGAACGGTGACAAGCCCTGCAACCTTAATGGGGCAGGAATCGCTTATGATGGTCAATCCAGAACTTGAACCACTTTCGCAGCACCACAACAGACTGACGAAGTCAAAGGATGCCATTCGTAGAAGATTCTTTTTTCACCCATCTGAGGGCGAGATATGTATGCCAGCGGCCACGTACCTATAAGACAGGTTGCTCTATTCAAAAGTCCCATCTTTGTCGCCTTGCTCGTCTTCCAGCGCCTTTTCCAGCCCTCTCAATCTTTCTCTTAAGTTTGTTGTTCCACGTAGCGCAGTCTTGTGTCCTTCGAATACTTCTCCGTTCCTGGAGCCCGCTAAGGGCGTAGTCGTTAACCTCAACACATTGATTAGACCCAGAGATTGATGGAATGAAAGGTTCTTTCTGAGCACCCAGCGAAACCAACCGCCGATGTGCTATCGATTTGCTTGTTTTTATTGGAGTATTTTCTTGAACACATTTATTTTCTTCCTTTTTCTTGGCACCGAAAACCAGTTTCAAATTCCTATGCAGCCCACGACAACAATTGGCGATTCTGGTTCTGCATCACCGACAATAAGTGAGTGTTTGGGAAGAGCGACACCTCAACAAGTTGACCCGAGAACGGATATTCCTCATGATCCTCTTCCTACTGAGCAGACGAAGGCAAGTAGATAATGTTTTATTTGTACGCAAATCAAGTTTTTATCTTTATTCTTAAAAAAGAGCATGAGAGAGGAGGGCTACTTGTGCAAAACCAAAATAACCGTATGGGAGATGAAGTCTTTTCTGGCCCCAAATAGGGTACAGCCATGGGGATGAGTGAAATGACGACGACCCCACGAACTCCTTCCAGAACAACAGCCCAAGATTTCCCTACTACTCCCTTCTGAATCTACCCACCATCTTACCATATTCCTGCAATTCCTGCAACTCCCTCTCGATTTCCCCCTTAGAGGGCGCATTTAAAGCACTTCCTGC